GTGGAAAGATCTAGAACTTCAGCCTGTCCACCACTGTGCAGAGCTTCTACAAGCATGCCTGGCAGGGTAGCTGCTAAAGCTTGAATGCAGTTTTCATAGAAATCTTAGAGCACGTGGCGTTGGATTTGAGCCTTCCCATGTCTAGATCGCATGCCTGAAAACCCATGTTTGAAACTCTCACAGACAACTGATTCTAAACCTTCAAAGTCCTTTAGTCCCGGAGAGGTCCGTGAGCAGCATGCCCATTCTCTCAGGGACAAGCATCTTTGCCCAAAGCCAGAAAAGAAAGCCTCCCCACCTTGACTAACCCTGCTCAAGTGGGAGAGTGGACTACTCCGGGGCAGCCCTGCCTCCACCCGGCCCAGCAGTCAGCCCACACTGTCTGCACCTGTTGCAGGTCTATAATGGGGTCAGCTATCAGCCCTCCAACCCTCAGTCCTGGGTGCCCCCACCCATTCTGCCTGTTTCCACACCCCATAATACAGGTACCACGATAAGTGATATGAAGAACTTTGAGATATCCTCACCATAAGCAGGCCTGGGGGCCCACACCTGTAATCCTAGCACCCAGGAAGCTGAAGCTGGATGGTGACGAGTTTGAGGCTAGCCTGGACTACATACAGACTAACTAACCGGACAACCAGGGCTATAGACTGAGAGTCTCGAGTACACAAAATTTAGCATCTGTGTCTGTGTGTTCCTACAGATCTATAATGTATATTTGTGACTGGTCATCCACATTGCAGCATGTATACGTGCATCCCTCACCATCAAGCAGAGGCCCACTGTGTAACTGATACACCACATCTGATTTACCCATCAACCAGCAATGTTTCTACTGTTTGCTCTTGTGAATAACAGTCACGAAGACTGGTTGGTATACAACTTTTAGTGTACGTTTTCCATTTTCGTCAGTGACTCACAGAGTGAAACTCCTGGCTCATATATTAGCTATGTGGCCCCTCTTCCCATCCCCCCCAGCGGGCATCCAGTGGGCTTTCTTCGCAGGGACCAGCACCACCCACCCACACTCCTCTGTGCGGCTACTAAGTACCCATTACAACACATCTCTAACCCGGGCACGGTCCACTGTCCAGTATTGTCTGCTAAGAAAGTAGGTGACAGTGGCAGTCTGTCCCAGCAGAGTGTACCAGAGCTTTCCCTGGTGCCCTGCTCTTCCCGCCCGTCACCCCTAATGCCAGCCAAGGTTAGGAGCCCTTCCGGAGTAGACTGCAAACCTAGCATCTGCTCCAGGGCTCCCCAGCTGACCTGGCATGTTGAGGGCAGAGTGTGGATTTAGCTATGTGAGTACTAAAGTGATGATGCCCGTCAAATATTGTTTCATGCACATTTACTGAAAAAATGGTATCCACCCTTCAGCAACTATGAGTTTGGGAATTGTCTTAGTTAGGCTGAAATCACAGTCCACTGAAAGAAGTCAGGACAGGAACTCAAACTGGGCAGGAACCTGGAGGCAGGGGTTGATGCAGAAGCCATGGAGGGGTACTGCTTACTGACATGCTCATCATGGCTTGCTCAGCCTGCTTTCTTATAGAACCCAGGACTGCCAGCCCAGGAGTGACACTACCCACCATGGGCTGAGCCCTCCGCCATCAGTCACTAATTAAGAAAATGTCTTACAGGCTTGCCTACAGCCTGATCTTATGGAGGCATTTTCTTAATTGAGGTTCCATCCTCTCAGATGACTCTAGCCTGTGTCAAGTTGACATAAAACTACCCAGCACAGGGATGGTGGGAATGAATATTCTTAACAGTGTTATCCGCACCCCGCCCCCGCCCCCACCTCCAACCCCCATGCAACGTATTTTTTTCTTTCCTTTCCCTTTACAGGTCTCTCTATGGAGCCCTGGCTGGCTTCAACTCCACAATCCTGGTTCTGCCTCCAGAGTGTTGTGTTTTCAGGCATGGGCCAACGACATCAGGCTGGAATTTGAGACGTTTTCTTCCTGGTGCCTACAAGTGTTCTCTACTGAGGAAAATGGGGAACTCAGTGGTCCTCTGCTGTCTGGAGCTGGAAGAACGATGTCTACTTCAGTGTGCACTCGCCTGGAACTTCCTTCCGTCAAGTCCTTCTGGCCTAGGCTTCCTGACATTTTTTAATGTGACTACATTCTACTCCTTAACCAGGGCCAATGTATTTGAATTAGGATTCGTTCCCCCTCCCCTGAACACACAGAACAACCAAACCAGAACTGTCAGAGTGGGGCTTCTAGTTGTATCTGACTTAAATCTAAGCCAATCCTCTCCCTAGAAAAGTATAATAAGATGGAAAACAGAACCAAGGCCTAGGACAGAAAAAGGCCACGGAGTGCTTGTCCTTGGCTTTTCCCTCACCGCAGGCTCAGCTGGTCTGTCTCTTAGTTTGCTTTCTACTGGTGTGGTAAAACCCCAGGGCTAATCGACTTACGTGTCTATCACAGTCCACCGCTGAGGCATCAGGGAAGGAGCTTGGAGGCAGGAACTGACGCAGAAGCCGCGGAGGAATGTGGCTTACCGGTGTGTTCAGCCTGTGTCTTTCTGGGTCGTGAGCCTCGCCCTTCTGGGCTGAGCCATCTCTCCAGCCCGCAGCCTGCTTTCTTACACAATGCAGGTGCCCTAGGAGGCACCACCCTCACGGAGCGAGGCCCCGACCAGCTCAATCCTTAATCAAGAAAATGACCTACAGACTTGCCTACAGGTTCCCTCCCCCCAGGTAACTCTGGCATGTGTTGGGATGACCAGAAGCCAACCCTGACAATAACATACATCAAGGACACAGTGATAACTTTTGAAATAGCTAATTTTTCAGTTTTCTACTTCAAGCAGTTAAGAGGAAGAATGATCCTCCCTTATTGTCTGAAGTTTCTAGCACCAAGTCATTAAGAAGACCCCATCTATGTGCTGAACCATGAATTTTCCTGTGTAGTGAAGCTTAAACCAAAGGGATAGATAGCCTGGTATCACATCTCCCTCTGCTCCCTGGTTCTTCTGTAAATTCCAAGTGTCTGGATCCCAGAAGGGACTACTTAAGGCAGATCTAATTTTCACTTTACCATTACCCTACACACACACACACACCAAGTCATGAGAAACTACAATCCAACACTTATCTCCCTACCTCAGCTTTCCTGTCTACTCAGAAGCTCGTGGAGAGCAGCATCTTCATGGTTTCTTCCCTTAGTTCCCCATGCTGGGAATAATACAAGTGCCTATCAAGTGGTAAATGGGTTGTCCAATTCAATATCCATGAAAAGGAAAGCAGTAATACGTGTGAAATCATTATGCTGGATACAAAACACCGCATACCCATGATTCCCATTAATACATAATGCCCACAAAAGGCAAGTGATACAGGTTAAGCAGCTCAGGGTCAGCATGGCTGGGCAGCAGAATAGGTAACTGCAAATGGACATCAGGAACTTTCGGGAAGAACATGGGAATGATTCCCAACTGCATTTAGTGACGGTTGAATGAGTTTGGGTACATAAACTACTGCTTTTCTCGTTATTCTGAAGCAAGTTCTCATGGAGACCCAAGCTGCTCTGGAAATCACTACATAGCTGAGGCTGACCCCGAACTCTTGATAATCCTGCCTCTCTCCCTAATGCTGGGATAACAAACATGCATTATCATAGCCAGCCTGGCGTGTAAATATATATTTCAACAAAGTTTTTGGGGAAAAAAGGCTTACCAAGAAATATGTCCATCTTACCTGGACTGGCTGAATATTCTGGTTCTCTCATTCCATCACAACTTTGGAGGGATTTATCAAACTAATAAAAAATGTATTTACAGGACTTTTCAAGACTATTCCACTAACTGAGCACTCTTCGAGGCCCCATCTGAAGGTGAAAAACCATTGGGATCTACTAAACTCAAGTTTGACCCACAGTAGAAAGGAGACTGGACGTTTATAAACAGCCCAAAGCCCATACCTTGTGAGTTTGGGCGGAGAGCGATTTGGGGCCCCGTTCTTCCACTGAAGAGGACAAAGTGGCTTTCCATGCTCCCAGTTCCTCGGACAGCAGGTCTGTCTCGAGGATTTTGGCTGTGGACAAAGCCCTTTATCAGCCATACCCCCTTCTACACTTCAGGCACCTGGACCGATTCTCGCTGCTCCTTTTGGAGAACTCTGCACCACTGTCACAGAATGTGCCTGTCACTGATCTCCACTAAGTGACCCGGGATGTGCTACTGATGATTCCACAAAGCACACCACATCTGTTCGTGAAGACACCAGGCTGTCAGGATGGCTACTGGTTTTAGGGTAAATTGTCTAGACCTGATTTTCTTTGCGGCAGCTTCATAAGCTCCCAAATACATAGGTCCTTTCACCATGAAGGTTCAAAAAAGGGAAGGAGATTCTCAAAGGAGCTCATGTGGAACCCCATCCCCCATGAACCTGGGGTTTGCACCTGTCGCCACTGTCCACCCCCTCCCCCATCCCTCTGAGCAGGGCAGAGAACTCTAAGTCCCAGCGTGCTGTTTCCAGGACGCACTGTACTACAGGGATTACCAGAGGCATCCCAGGTTTGCTCAAGTGAAGACGGAGCCAGCTGTCTACCCCTCAGGAAGCACTTAATCCCACCGGAGCAGCCACAGCCAAAGCAGCAGCTGGTCTTCAGCTCAGCCCTGCCAGCCTGACCTTGCCCACTGGATATGGGCAGCAGGGAGGCACAGGCAGGATCACCAACCGGCCACTCCTCGATGGACACAAATCAGGGCCCCTTCGAGCTGTCTCACCCGCAAGGGACAGGGAAGCTCACCTTAGAAGCATATAAAATCAAGCCGGGCGGTGGTGGCGCACGCCTTTAATCCCAGCACTCGGGAGGCAGAGGCAGGCAGATCTCTGTGAGTTCGAGGCCAGCCTGGTCTACACTCTGGGTCAAGGGATGGGGCTGTCCAAAAAAAAGTGAGAATGGGGCAGGCAGTTGTTCTTTTAGAAACCCAATTCTTCCAAAATGCTTCTCCAATGAGAAAAGGGCACAGCAAAGTCAAAATACCATCGATTTTTTTTATTATTTTTCTATCCCAGTTTCAGTAAAAAGATCCAGAGAACTGATTGACACACATCATAAACTTTCACCCATGTACAGTGTATATACAGTGTTGCTACCGATGAACTAGGTGTCGTTACCTTTGTTCAAAGCAAAGTGCAAATGAGGAGAGAAGGATAACCAAAAGGAGATGGTCTTTCATCTCAGACAGTGACCGGATGGGGGCCACCACGAGGAGAACAGGAGACATCAACAGCCCGCAGGTGAAGAAGCCAGACAGTGGGTACCAAACAGCAGATTTCCAGTGCAGGCATCACTGTGCGTTCCCAGTTCTCATTTGTCCACCTCATCACTACATTAGCTGAAGCCTCTTCTGGTGCAGATAGAATGCCGATCAGAGTCTGGCTCTTCTGGTGATTGTCGGCTAAGATAGAGTCCATTTTTATATACATGCTACAAAAGTATGCTAGAAACGTTCATCTTCAGAGCTCTGTTAAAATCAAGAACTTGTTTTTTATATGGCATGATGTACACCCAAACCTAAAAGTCTACTTGAGAAAAGCTTTTACAGAAACCCCGATAGTCTTTGTTTAGGAGAATATTGGTTTTTAATAGGTGTGAATATGTAATGCTCTCATAATTCTGTCCCGCCACACCTCACCAATCCCGTAGAAACATGGTGGGTTAGGAGACCCACATCACCCTCAAGCAGCTCTTGCTTGTGCGCACGGCCATGTTTTCAGTGCGTGTTCCTATCACACGGTTTCCGCCGGTTCTTGGGTGCCTGCGACGACTCTTTGTGGTCAACCTCTGGAGAAGGGAGTGGGACTAACAGAAGCAGGGGATGCCGGACACAACTCACATGTGGCCCGACTCAACAGTGGCGCCCTCTGTGGTAGGGCTGTCATGAGGCAGGGCAGCCCCAGGTCACATGACCAGACCCGACAGTGACCGCACTCTCGGATTGAGGTCACCCTCTGCTGTGCTCACCACACACCGGGTGTGAGTGTAGTTCTCAGGACGGCTGGAGGCTTATCCTCCGAACCCAGGCATGTCTACAGTAGGAAGGAAATGCTGATAACCGAAATCCATTTCTAATTTAAACAAAATATTTACTCTTTTCATTACCAAAATAGCCTTTACAGTGCCTCTATTTCCCCTCTGAACACTGATGACAGATCTACATGGTTGCCGAGTGTGACCAACCACCTCGGATGTGCGGAGTATGGCTGTGAGTACAGGCAGCGACAGGAGCCCATGTCCAGGGGCTGAGAGGAGGCTTCCTCCAGGCGGCCACAATGTCCGGCCCACCTCAGGAAGGCTTTTCTTCTCAATGGCTATTATTTCTGCCTGATTTTTACTCTTGGATTTGATGACATGATGGAAAGAAAAATCGCCACCAGGGAGTCGGCAGGGCCTGGGTCTTCTTTCCAGGTGAGGTGTACAGAGAGCTGGAGGCAGGTCCTGGACTGCCAGGAGGTGCCTCACCCCAGGCAGCCTGCCAGCACTCCACCTCAGCCATGCCCCCCCCCCCTTCGTGGGACTCAGTGAAATCAGTTTCCAGGGAACTAAGAAAAGCAGAAGCTACCACCAAGCCATGGGAAGCTGGGTTACGTTTTTCAAAAAGTTTCATCAGAAGTGGATTCAGACACCCGCTTTTAAACGAATCAGTATCGGCATAGGCTTCAACCTCTAGCCTCGGAATCGTGAAACTACTTAAAATCAAGATGTTTTCACTCAGCAGACTGTTACTTCTCGGACAGGCGGTCCAGTCGGAACGGAGCCCAGGGATGGAGCACCTGCCTGGTGTGTATGAGACGCTGGGTTCCATCCCCAGTACCATGAACAAACAAACAAAAAGGAAAAAAGAAAACAGAAAAAAGTGGACAATCATTCTTTTTTAATCTAACTCAGGCCTTCAGAAATACTTGAGTCTCTAAGGGGAGGAAGCCCCGGAGACCTGGCTCCCCTTGTGTCTGCAGCAAGCATCCGGCCACAGAGAGGCTGTCCCCAGTGCAAAGGTCAATGTCTGTGCGAAAGACCACACTGCCGGGCACAACCCTAAGAGGGCCTCAATTTATAGTCTCTGACTCTTTAAAACACAAGTGTCCTAAATTATGGAACCCAGCAAGTGAGGGCAGAGAAGTTAGCATTGGAAAAGTCTAGTAGCTTTCAGGGGCGGATGCCTGCTATGCGCTCATCACTTAGATCACGTGTTGGTTAAATATTCACAGTAATTTCAGAGAAAGAAACCTTCGCATCTGTAAAACCTGCATCCGTCGTGTTTTTAGCCCCACGCCGGCTCAGTGCAAGACTTCAGAGCTGCTGGACCAGCTCCTCCCTGGCAGTCCATCCTCTCCGGGCAGCTACACCTTCAAGGTGGGCTGCAGGATTCCTTTCTCAGTGAGATGAGTCTTCAGGGTTCTGTAGATGTTTAACTGCTGTTCTGGTTGAAGCACCAGCAGCTGCTGGAGGACCTTGCTGGGATTGGGACCCCTGAGGATGAAGCAGAGAAGACAGGGTCACACTGTCTGCATGGGGGGCTGAGTGAGCAGGTGCTCCCGAGGACCCGTGCTAAGCAGCCATCTTTTCAGAACTGAAACAGCTCTTCACAGGATCCCAGGTGAGTGCCCAGCGCTCCTGTGGAGGGGAGCAAAGGGCCAGAATGACTGTGCCAAGAGATGCAAGGGGAGTGGGCGTGGAGGGAAGAGCAGGCACAGGACAGAGACCTAAGTTCTACAGACATTCTCTTAAGGGCAACTTGGTAAGAACAAACCCGCAGGCCAGGAGACGCGGGACAAACAGAAAGGAGCGCACACAAAGAAATTTAAAATTCTTAGCCTCAAAGAGACTTCTAGACCATGGAAGGTGCTTCGCTGAGGAAATACCATCAGGGAACTATGACCACTCATATGAGAGACAAAACACTAAAGTCCTGCTCCAAAGCTCCTACCCAGAATGCACCATGGTGTCGATGCCTTCTTCCAAGTCCCAGGGAAATGCCAAGAAGCAAAGAGTAGGAAGACCCCCCTCTGCTCTTTGAACAGAGGCCCGAGGAGAGCCCTGGTCTCTTGCTCTCCTGCCACAGCAGTCCATGCAGGAAGAAGGGACCCGGGGAGCAGCTACGTGACCTCTGGGCCATGACCCAGCCCACCACCCCTCTCTCCTTGGGCTCACTCTTCCAGGACCCCTGCCCCAGCCTTTCAGTGTACAACCCAGCTGAGGTACAAAGAGCTCAGAGGAACTCCAGGCAGGGGTCCATCTTCACCCCCTGGCTTCTGGTAACACTGCCGCAGTCATGGGAATGCAACTGCCCACAGCCGGGCCCGGAGAGCTCACATTTATACATTCCATATGTGCTTTTGTAAAACAACGGTCTGTGAAGTAAGACAGACGTAGTAGCTTACACCTGTAAGCTCAGTACTGCACATGCTGAGGCAGAAGAATTACCACGAGTTGGAAGCCAGGCTGTACTATATAGTGAGTTCCAGGTCAGTCTGGTCTACAGAGTAAGACACTGTCTCAAAAAAAAAAAAAAAAAAAACAACAACAACAACAACAACAAAGCAACCCCCCCCCAAAACCTATCACCTTAAAATATCTGTGTATAATTATTGCCATTAAGTCTTCCTCCATGCATTTGCAGAGTGGTGCATGTGCAAACAATCGTTGAGATTTAAATGGAAAATCCCATGAGCAAAATAGGAAGGATGGCACAGAATTCTGAGACACACATTAAAAAAAGGTAAGTAAATGACTTATAAGATAGATTTTAAAAACAGAATGGTAAGAAATGGAAATTCCAGCGACACAGAAATGCCTTCTATAGAATTATCACAATGGGGAAGGACAGAGGCACAAGTGACTCTGAAAAATCTTTGCCTTCAACAACAGCTACACAAGAGCACAGAGCAGCCGCCCCGTGGGTCACCTTCCTATCTCAAGGCAAACTGGCAGAGCCTGTGGCTGTGTGCCCCTCACAGGCAAAGTCCACTCAAATTACAGCCCGGCTTGTCTTGTTATATTCCATGGCATAACCTGGAGCAGCCGCCCACAGAGAAAGGAGCCATCCCAGCAAGCTCAGCTAAATGGAAAGTGATGTCAGCGGGCGGTTTCCCGGCAGCTGGATCCAGGACACCGCTGCCTTCCAAATAGGCCACGGATCTGCTTTCAGAAGGCAGGGACATAGCTCAGCGTGACTCTGCCGCTGAGAGAGCACAAGATAAATTCCTTTCTAAACAGAGAGTGTGAATTAATGCCTTAAAGACATGCCATCTTCGGAAAAAATGAAGCTGCTGTTGTTGTTTTTGTTTGTTTTTTAGGGACTTGGTCATAAATGACTAATGCCAAACTCCATCTACAAGGAAACGCCATATAAAAAGACAGAGACCACTGATGGAGTCACAAAGAACGAAAACAAGCAGAAAAGAAAGGCACTGTTGAAAATAAGCACAAGGGAATGAAAAAGATAGAGAACCAGCGTGCTAGCACTAGAGAAACAGAAGCTGCTGGAGCATCCTCAGGGCGCCGGCGCAGACAGTGGGCAGGCGGGAAAAGATGGCGGCACAGCGACCAAACGAGGAACTCCACAGAGAAACCACGCTGTGTCACTGCATCTCAATACCACCTCGAAAGAGATGATTTCCAACTCACACATTTCTACCAAAGCAGAGAGGGGCATGAGCCGACCATGGCAGGAAAGCCAGTCCACAGCGCTCTGTTAGGTACAGCAAGCGCTCCCAACACAAACGAGCGCACTCGGCACTCAGCAGAACTACACCGGACACAGTGTCGCGTCTAAACGCTGCAAGGTGGGCCTCGGCCTCTGTGCGGACGCAACGTGTACCAGAAAAGATGATATGCTGAGCCACGAAGCAAGGTTCAACAATTAGGTTCTTTTAACCACAATGAGACTAGGGCAAATATCCATAAAGAAAGAACAACAAAGTCTTGCTTTGTTTGGAAATCAGTCAATATACTTCTAAATGACTGTCAGAGGAGAAGGTGACACAGGAAACTGAAGAACACTCGCCACTGACTGACAAAAACAAACACGCTACAACACACAGGACGAGAACCAAGTGCGTCACAGAGGGGCTCTGATTCAGCCTTAGATAAGAAGGTGAAAAATCAGCCACCCAGGCTCCATCTTAAAAAGCTAGAAAAGGAACAAATTAAACTTTAAAAATAGAAAGAAATGAAAAAATGAGTATAAATCAATGAAGGAGAAAATAAATAGACCACACAGAAAACTAAAAACCTCTTGGTTCTTTGAAAAGGTGAAGGAAGTTGGTAAATTTTAAGACTGTAACCTCCCTCCCCCAAAAAACTATACAAAAATTCATACACTGGTATGGATACATAGTTTTAAGTGTACATTTATGAATTTCTAAATGTAAGTTTCCCTCTCAATAACTCTGATGAAAACTTTTTTTCCGTGGCCTTCTGGGCCCCTGTGGAGACCAAGGAGATCATCAAATCACTTTGTTACTTCTGTTGGCTTTCCTGTGCTGACCTGCCACTGGAGGGCAGATCTGAAAGTCTTCTCTACTAAAAAGACCAAGTGTTTACTAAACAGCCGCCTCCTCTGCCCCTCACACAGCCAGCGCTAACCTCCCTGATACCTCTCCGATCACAGTGAGCAGCCCCGAAGACAGGGGTCCGCTTTGCTATGTTCTGTGCTCTAGTCATACCTAGACATGTCACAGACACTCATGCAAGAACTGGGCTGAATGGACTGTCCTTCCTCTTCCTTAGCAGCGTTCAGTGAAATACCCACAGTAAAGAAATGCAGTCTGCTTGTACTTTGAACCTAGCATGAGTCACATTAACTGGGTCTTTTTTATTGAGTCTTTTAATTGAGTCTGCTAACAATCATGGTGTATATACTACCTTTAAGTTGCTCAAATGTATTAAAAACAATGAAGATTGGACCCTACTACTTAGCGCTACAATTCCATTTAACTTGACATTATAAACTACCATTGACAGAAGCAGTTAGTTTAAACCAATGGGAATTCAAGAGTCATACAATGAAAAGTTTTGGTTTTGTGTTTAACAGAACAGTACCTTATGAAGCTTGTGATGTACACATGCACGAACGTGGCCATCAGATACTGACAATCGAACCTGTCCATTATCCCGCCATGTCCAGGAATGGTGTTTGCAAAATCCTGCAGAAACAGACAATGTGCCAAAGTGTCACTTGTGCCAAATTCTGACCCGTGAATGTCTTTTCAGCTTTACAGACTTCACAAGGAAAACAACTTCACTATTAATTTTTTCTAACAAATACAAATAAATTAGAAAATACCACCAGATTAAAATGGTATTTTTCAACTCTCCGCTCCCTGTTTAATGATTTCTGAATTGGCCCACAGCACTGAAATAACACTAAATATTAATTAAGTCTAGCACTTTTTCTCATTAATGTAATTTTTCTAAATTAAAAAGTCTACCAACTACCCTTATCTAATTCTGTAACTGCCTATACCCCCGCATGGCCAGAAGCCGTGTGGGAGCTGCCTCGGTGTGTCACAGATGCACAAGCATTTCCACCTCATGTTTATCCAAACAGCTCTTGTTCGGGAACACACACTGCAGTGATTAAGAGACATCAGTAAGCACTGAGGTAAGCGGAAGAACCGCGCAGCGGCTCACTGAGAACACCTCAGCCAGCCTGAGGTGAGGCTAGGGGGTGAGGTTTCTGCAGCTGCACTCACTGCCTGGACCCCGGAGAGCACAAGTCACTCACACAAGTAACTCGTGGCTCTTCTCGCACACCAGGGCACCTAACAATCAACAGCAACTGTACCTTCAGATGTGAAAGAGGAAAAGACCCCTCTCTTCAATGAGGAACCTTAGAGACCGTTGAAAACAAAACCAAAACCAAAACAAACTCTAAATACCTATGACTGATTTCTGCCAACCCACTTCCTCCCTTCTCTGCCCACTGAGGCATGAGGGAGCCCCAGAGGCCTGATCCCACTGCAAGGCAGTTACCGCCCCCCCCCCATGCAGCCTCAGTTAGCTGCCACTGCAGACTGGACTGTTTCCCACCCTCCCCCCGTGGGGAGGGAGCACCTTGAGGCCAGGGACCTTGAAGGCTTTGTGTATTATCTGCCCGGCTCCCCCAACAGCACCCTGTGCAGGGCAGAGGCTCCCTGAGTTCATTTGCTTCCCTGGCCGTCCTGAGGTCTAATGTGGTCGGGTTTCCAAACACTGTGCTCTCGGGCCTTCTCTAACACAGCCGCTCTGTCCTTGCTCCCCTTCGACAAACAACTCCCTCCTTGTCCTCACTTCAGTCTCTTCCTCAGACTTTCCAGTAAGACTTACTCTCTTTTTAGATCTCAGCTCCAATTCCACCTCCTCAGAGCACCGTTCCTGACCTGTTAACACATCTTCAACAGCCATGCCAGCCCTTAATGAGCCAATTCTACCTTAACCTGGCGAGGGAGGAAGGCTGTGATGATATCGCTTTAGGATGACCCTGCTCTACTAAAGTGCAGGGACAGCTTTCAGCGAGCCGGCTCCCACAGGCTCAGTGTGGCCAGTTGTGGACCACATCCCGATGACGAAATGGCTCCTAATGATGTGCACTAACAGCGTAGCAGAGAATGTAAAACACACCTTGATTTTGAAAGCTCTTTTGAATCCACTGGCGAAGAAGCCTCCAAATGGGCCAATCAGTGAGGCAAACGTTGAGAGAGCAATGCTATGTATCTGGAAGGGATACAAGCTCACGGTGTCCTAAGGAGGAAGAAGTGGAGAGGAGCAGCTGTGTTAATACCGCACTCATTCAGGCCATGTGACCCAGGAACCACGGCAGACACAGGAGGTCAAAACAGGCCACATTTTCTGTCAACGTCTCCTGCCTTAAAGACCACGGGATAAAAATGCCATCATCGGCAGTCCCCATGCCCTGCTCATCACCCACGGCCTCACTGGCACACCTGGTAGAATTCTAGCTCATCCAGGGCTTAGGAAACAGCTGTGTGGGGGATTCGCACTTTAGTTTACGTTTGCTCTTTGGGCCATAATACTTTGTTCTTATAAGTATAGGATTTATTTTAATTTTATATTTTATAATGCTAGCTAATTCTAAATGATGAAATAGCAAAAAGTTGTCTTTATCACCAAAACTAAGTTGAAAGCTATAGAAACACACAGAAATAAAATTCTTTTCCTCTTCTTTAATTTTTTAAAAAAATTAATTTTCAAGACAGGGTTTGTCTGTGTAACCTTGGCTGTCCTAGAACTTGCTCTGTAGACCAGGCTGACCTCGAGTGCTGGGACTAAAGGTGTGTACCACCACTGCCCAGTTCAGAAATGAGTTTCTTAAAAACTGTCAAGGGGTAGTGGCATGCACTCTGTAAGCTGACACAGAAGTACCTCGAATTGAAGGACAGCCTGGGCTACATGGTAAGACCCTGACTCAAACAAAACAAGACCTGTCAAAATGAACATGAACAAAATGATTGCCAAGGATTTAGTGAAATCATCTGAACAGAATTTTATATTCAAATTAGTTGAGTGTACAGCTCTTTTCCTCCTTAAGTAACTATGAACTAAAAGCAGCACATGATGAATATGGTCCAAAAAGATGTTCAGCCCACAAAGTTTTGGATCTGTTCTCAAAGAACAACACTCCTCCAAACTTTAGACTGGTACCAGTCAAAGGTTTATTGAATAGAACAGGAAGCATGGATAGTGAAAAAATGTTTGGAAACGAAACATTGAGCACTCAAAGAGAGAAATTATTTGTAGGCTAACTTGTTTCTAGCAACTTGCAGCTGTGAGTCTGAAGCACAGTGTACACACACATGTATGTGCACACAGTTACTGTATGTCCTTGCTTGCGTTCTGCTGCTGTGAGGGGAAGCAAATCTGGCTTACAGGTTATACTTCATCACCAAGGCAAGCCAAGGCAGGAGCCTTAGGGACCCTGCTTGCTCAGCGCCTTTCCTGAGGCCCACCTGCCGAGGGATGGCACCGCCCACAGTGGGCTGGGCCCTCCCCATCAATCAGCAATTAGGAAACTGTCCCACAGACAAGCCCACAGGACAATCTGATGGAGGTAATCCTTCAGCTGAGGTTCCCTCTTCCCGGGTAAAAACTACTCAGCCCACCGTCTCCCACTTTGAGGATGCAACAGCAGACAGGCGGGGTCTACTGGAGAGCACACCAAACCTTCTGGGGACGGCATCTCAGGTGCTTTAAATGGTGGCAATGGGGAGACTCATTTTAAGAGGATTTCTATATTAAAATGACCCCTAAAAACAAGGGCTCTTTCAACTGACGGGTCTTAATTAAGTTTTATACTTACTCAAATCATGTCAGTAACCTGTATTTATTGATTTTTAAAAATCTTTATATTTATTTTTAAATTTTATTTATATTTTAAAATACTTTAAAAAACATAAAGTAAATTACTATCAGTATTTAAATCATTATGCAAATAAATTCCTAGTGCACAAACATACGATTGGAAATGTTAATACCCATTTGATGTTTAAGATGATGACAGACATACAATCCACTTCTACATCTTTTAAAAAAAGAAGCAGGCCGGGCGGTGGTGGCGCACGCCTTTAATCCCAGTACTCGGGAGGCAGAGGCAGGCGGATCTCTGTGAGTTCGAGGCCAGCCTGGGCTACCAAGTGAGTTCCAGGAAAGGTGCAAAGCTACACAGAGAAACCCTGTCTCGAAAAACAACAACAACAACAACAACAAAAAAGAAGCAGAACACCCCTTTGAACAGAGCTCAGTCGAACGGGTAGTTCTCCAATCACGTTAGCTAGCCATTTGCTCTTACCCGTCTCAACACCGCCTTTAGGAACGGAGGGAGGGAGTAACTCTGAAGCTGGAAGAGTTCTGAGGGCTCACATTCTGTCACGAAAGAGTTGACGTCGCTTCGGTATTCCACTGGGCACACAAAGTACTGGTATTTGGACAACACGTAGGCAGCCTGAAGAACAAAGCAGAATGCATGAGATATTGCCCAAGTAAAAGGAGCTGAGTGCCACAAAGGACGGAGCCAGACCCGAGTGTCTTTGCATTGGCATTCGGCTAGGTAGTCACAAAGCTAGGTCAGGATGGTCCCAGGAGAAACCCTGACTGAAAGCCATGAGCGCTCCATACAACCTCAGAAGGGGCGGGGCTAACGGTCTTAAAGGAGCCGTATAGGAGATCTTACTTTTAAACTTTATCTTACTACTATGCTAAGTACGTGTGCATGGTGTGTGTGCACCTGCCAGGGGACTGCTCTGTGGAGTCAGTTTTCTCCTTCTCCTTTTACGTGAACTCTGGGGATCAAACTCGGGTCCCCAGGCTTTTCACAGACAGTGCCTTTACCCACAGAGCCATGTCTCCAGCCCAAGACCTTACTTTTAAAAGTCTACATAGTCACTCTTAGCGGGGCCTAAGAAGGCACGGTAAAGGGGTGAATTATGAAGATGTGGGCTGTGCAGAGGGACTTACTACACATAACGAGTTAATCTCATCAGCTGATACACAATCTCTAAGCAAACAGTGCACAACAGTGCAGGTGAGAGGCACCACTGCCCCTTACCAGCCCAGGATGCCTGACTCAACGGTTCATCATTGAGGTCTTTAAAATTAGCCATCTCCAACCATGGAAAAGGAGACCAGATAAAACATCTTCATGTGCACTGGATCCCACTTCTCTGGCAGCCACTCACTCCACTGTTTAGCTCAAGAACAGCGGGAATTCAAACTTGCTGCTAGGAACAGATTCCAACTGCTTCTGCTTCCCTGTGAGCCAGTTTCTTATCTGGGTGTACGTTACATTTTAAGGGCTCTTGCCTTCTTCCAGTGACAGGGCTTTCCATATAGAATCTCTAAATAATAAACTCTTACAGTATTATTTAACTTGGTATTTTATTTTTGATACACAAACCTTAAGCAGGACTGGATTCTCTACTGGAGAGCACACCAAACATTCTGAGGAAGGCATCTCAGGTGCTTTAAATGGTGGCAATAGGGAGACTCATTTGTATCAGTCATTACTAACATTCTACCTCAAAACTTGCTTTTTTCCCCCAAATTCTACTAGAATTTTCTTTGAGAATGAATTGTTTTTTTAATTGAATAGAGGGGTAGTTTCCCCATATAGGACAAAGCCACACTTATTTACATGTTTACTCTCCCAAAGCTTTGTGTTGTTATTATTACACTATGCCTGGCTGTGATTTTGTATTATCAACTATAGTTCTCAGGGACTAGACTTAAATTTTTGAATTCCCTAACAGTAATCTTTTTGTATATTTTTCTTTTATTTAGTCATGTACAGTCCCTTTATTGATACCTTTTACTGATGGGGAATGTCTTTCTGTACACTGTGAATATGTGGTGCTCTGACTGGTTGATAAATAAAGCTGTTTGGCCTATGGCAAGGCAGCTTAGAGGCAGGTGGGAAATTCAAAGAGACAGGAAGAAGGCAGGGAGAGATGCCAGCAAGCTGCCCAAAGTACTGGTGTTTGGACAACACAGGCAACCTGAAGAACAAAGCAGAATGCAACATGTATTGAAATGCAGGTAAAGCCACGGAACATGTGGCGATACACAGATTAATAGTTATGTGCTAATTTAAGATGTAAGAGCTAGCTAGCAAAAGGCTTGAGCCATGGCCATGCAGCTATAATTAATATAAACCTCTGTGTGTTTACTTGGGGGGCGAGAGTGGGAGAGATTTGTTAAGTGGCAGGCTGGGACACAGGAAATCGTCCCACTATATTTTACTGTAGTAATTGTATTGTTATTTTCAGAGGGAGGTTGAGACGGGGTCCCGCTGTATGGCTCTGGCTGTCTTGGAACTCGCTCTGTAGACCAGGCTGGCTTTGAACTCACAGAGGTCTGCCTGCCTCTGCCTCCCCAGTACTGTCACTAGATACCTTTAGTTAAACCCCAGCTCTAGGGCTAGGGATGTGGCTCAGTGGTAGACTGTTTGCTCAGCATGCTCATGGTCCTGGGTTCAATCCCAAGCACCAAAACCAAATAAAACAACACTGCCTCAAACCCCCAACCGCAACCTGATATTTTAACCAGGCTGGGCTCATGGCAGGACCTACTCATTGAGCCGGTGGGCACCGTGTGTCGGGAGGCAGACCTGAACACCATCTGCACCCGGCTAGTACTCAGAGGACACCTGTCCCAGCATCTGTACCCTCCTAACAGGCAGAGAAGCTTTCAGAAAGGAACAAAACAAAGGGCACCATGTGGGCCTACAACGTGGAGGCACTCTGGAACCACCTGACCAAGTCCAGCAGTCTGGATCCCTCTGGGACACAGAGTTTTAAGCTTCCACGTGACCTGCTCTGTAGCCAGAGTGACAGGTACTGGTGTTCAAAGTTGGTTATGCTTAGTAGGCTGGGGTTTTTGTTTGCTGGTTTGAAGTATTTCACACACGAGTACATCACTTCCAGGCCTCCTGCTCCCTTCTCCAACTCCTCCTGTGTCCCCCCCCCCATCATGTCTCAAATTCATAACTCATCTTCTTCAATTACACTGTTTTACATGCTCACCTACACACACACACACACACACACAAATGCAACCTGCTCATATGTATACATGTTTAGGGCTGATCACTTGGGATCAGATGACCTGTAAGGGTCTCGTCTCTCGAGAAGACTGATGCTCCCTCTTTTGGCAGCCATCAATGGCCTGCCCTCCTCATCTAAGTGAGGCCTTGTGAGGTTTCTCTTGTGTGTGCTGTCATTGTGCAGTTCTTGTTTAGATGATCATTGCTAAGATTTCATGGGTGCAGCTCCCTGGCAAATATGGAAGACACTATCCTGCAGCAGACATCCTGGCTCTCTCCTTCTTCGGCGATGTTCTAAGAGTCTCAGGTATAGAGGTGAAACTGTAGATGTCCTGGTGGGGACGGGCAGCCTGTCTTATATCTACAGGTAAGTGTGGCTCTCACTTCTTATCAAACAAAGTTCTTTCTGCAGCAGATGGAGACCATCACAGAATCAACACTAATCAAAACACAGAGAATGACTGACTATGGGTGCCTATGTAGTAAGTTTCAATAACAATATGACTGGCATTTTAGAAAAAGCTAAAACCTAACATGAGTTTTCAGAGTATAAATAAAAGTAAAATCCCAGTAAAACTCACAATGAATCCAAATATGACTGTGGAGAAGAAACCGCCAATGAATCCTTCCCAGGTCTTCTTGGGAGATAGCTAAAGAGGGTAAGATGGAGGGTTGGTAAATGTACAAAGCCAGGGAGCGGAAGAGCCCCAGTGAGTTCCCCCAATACCCTGCACATCTCTTTCCTTTCCTCTCACTAGAACGGGCTGAAACTCCGGTTGTTCATGGCATGGTCATGACTGACCTGAGCAAGTGTCTCGAGCAGCACCCAATGCAGCCAGCCCCTCAAACACCCGTGATAGACTGTCAGCATCTATTCATCTCTGCTCAGCAGCCTCAAGTTCGTTCCCTTTTTTTTCCTTTCAAAGGGCTATAAATTCAATATTGAAATAATTTTCTCACGACTGGCATGCTTCTCTTGGAATGAGATTATTAGTCATCCTACACAGACATCGCCAGTGCTGACCTGCTACTGACCAGAGAAGAGAAGGAACACAACAAGGCACGGACGGACAGACGGACGGACACTCAACACTCCAGGCTGTCTCTTCGCTGTCAAGGAGACTAGGGAGATAGGCCCCACTGTGGAACCCATTCTGGTCTAGATTTCGCAACCCTCCTGCCTCAGCCTCTCAAGTCTGAGATTACAAATTTGTACTAGCCTGTTCAGCTCAGTCCTGATTTACAAGACATAGGAGATTTCTTTCTGAAATGAAATATTCAACAGCCTTAAATTACGCACCCACCCCCGTAATCTATGTCTACCTTTAGACAGAAAGGAACATATTGTGCTGCTGAGAATAGACACTGGGTATGTTTCACAGTCTGGCTATTATTTCCCAGTCAACGAGACATTCAGGGGGGGAAATCTGGAAGTCAGTCTGGAACTTGGTAGTGTAAAGGGATAGGAGAGAAAACTCTGGTCCTAACTGCACCAAAGCTGCCACGGAAGGTAAGCATTAGAATGTACATGACCAGTGGGCTGGTAGGGACAGCACTAACTCTCAGGGGGGAAGAATGGGTCACAGCCCCAGCTACCTGAGCTCCTTGCAGACTTATCTTGAAGTTGAGAAACCTCAAAGTTAAACTAGTTGGCAGCAATGGTTTCTTAACAAATCTGGTGACATCTTTACCACAAAGAAGGAACGAATGCACCTTTTCCTGGGATAATCCCGTGTCTGTATTAGTGCCATCGAGTGGACTCAAATTCAAAGTGTCTGCTGACTACTTAAGAGAGCTTCAAGCTGACTCATACCAGATCACAAGTTAATTGCCCAACCTCCTGGGCGTATCATACAAATAATCTTTGGTGAAATCACTTGAAAGGTATTCAAAACCAGTCCCTAGGATTCCTGTGTGGGCCTTAAGTCTCTCAAGGCACGCTGGTTTAGAGTTCAGCCCATGCAAGCACCGTGAACACACTGTCTTGTTCTCTGCTGCAGCAGCTTGAGACATTTCAGAGATCCGCACCGTGCACGTCAGCAGCCCTGCAGCTGGGCCTGGTGCTGTGTGACCACCCACAAGTGGAGAGTTGATGGCGGCACCCTGAGGGGCGGGCCACCCACACACTCCCCAGGAGCACTACCCTTCCTCACACCGCTCTCAACAGCACAAGGCTAATCCATACTCCACCAGTTCCTCCATATAATTGCTTTCATCCCAGCCAAGGAACATATTTGTGAGACTCCTTCCTATTAAACACTCTGCTCAGTGTGGAAACTGACTCCTACATCAAGTCCCAACATAAAAAGCTCTTTAAAAAAATAAAACCAGTCCTAAGAAAAGGGAAAAAGGAAAAGGTTGGGTTTTTCATGAAGAAATGGATTCTTTCTTGCCCAAACTGAGATCTGACTAATTTAATCCCCGTCCTTGCCTCCACCATCCATACACAGAAGCAAATCTAAGGCAAACAACAGGGCTCTTCACACGTGCCTTCCTCCCTTGTCCCGACTTCCCACCGATGGCTGTGGGACCCCGGTCTCTTATTTATAATGAACCTGGGAGTCTTCGGATGACAGTACAGAAAGACCGTGCACCTTGCTCTTTTAGGAAGTTTGGGGAAGGACGGGTTAGCGAGCTGTGGGAATGCTGGGAACGGGTTACAGAACTAACTGAGCAACTGTTGGGGAGGGGAAACCAGCAGGAAGATGAGTTCTCACAAGGGAAAGAAAATGGAGTCCGGCCCCATGGAGGACCCAGCTGAACACCTGACGGAAACTCAGAGCGAACTCCTAAGACAGTAGCTCACAGCCCTGCACTGTGGCAAGCTGCTGCATGTGGGAACATCAAGGTGGTGGCCTAGAAGTCAAAAGTGTGCAAGAGGAGCAGACACTTGCAATGTTCTGTGGCCTGGCTTGAAGTCTATGGGAAGGGCTTCCTTCTAACATTTCCCATTACCTTAATTAAAGGAGTTCTTCCAAAAAAAAATCCGAAGAGGTAAGCAGTGATGTCATTGCAGATGACACTTGATATTGGAACAAGGAACCTTTAAAACATTAGCAGAGAAAAGTGTGTGATTAAACAATTTACGGCTCAGAATGAACCCACACGACGACCCTTTAGATCACACAGTGGACAGCGCAAAGCACAGCCCATGGCAAGGCCCAGGAGAGGCAGAAAATATCACACAAGCCTGCTCAGTTAGCCAGGAGATGGAACAAAGCCTACCACTACACTAAGACACTTGGAGAACGCTGCTAAGGAAACTATTAAAGAACCAATTGCTATAGTTACAAACATTTAAAATGTCATTATATAAGGAACTACTTTCAAGAAATCATCATTTCTTTTAAGAAGAGCAGCCTTGTGAGATGCAAGACAAGTCACTTGTGCAGCCAGAGACTAAAGTGACAAGCTTATACACGAAGCTCTTAATGCAAATTCTCTTTCAGGAAAATTATTAATTTCAGGTCTATCTTAGCCTATGACTGTGCCAAACTCTGATAAGTTTGCAGAACCTATTTATATAAGCAACATTTTCCCCTCAATTTAAAGGTTTTACAAGGCATCCATCCCTAAACTAGATTGTTTACACAAACACATGCACATTCTGGTAGGCTGTCGGGAGGGTAAAACTTAGGCTGGCCAAACTCCAGTTAGCTGGAGAAGATTCTACTTGCCGACTTCACGACAGATGTGAGGGAAGAAGCCTCGTTTTCATCATCTATGCACATGTATAGAGAACTTCACCAAGCCTTTCTCCACTCCAGATCATCTCTAACTATTAATTTGGATAACTTTTAATTAATAAAAATGCTGTCTGCCGTGCCGTGGAGCACACAGCTCTGCACATACACAGTCTAGAAGCTTGCTCGTTTCCAGATGTGAAGCAGGACCCACCCAACTGTCGCCCGGAGAAAAGGCATTTATCCAACCCACTTATTGAAAGCCACATGCCTTCAAACTCCACATAAATAACATCTAATCTTTGTTTCTTAAAAAGTAATGCTGGGGCTTATCAGCATCGAAAAATGGAAGTGGGTCTTGAGGAAGACTTTCTGCCTTTTATTTGGAACTAAAAGAAAGGTTTCCCATCATTAATAAAGCATTTTGTGATCAGTTGTCAGACAGTAATTAAAACTCGGTAATTTTAATGGGATACAGCAAGTGGTTCCCGGGTTGTAGCGGAAACCGCAAAGCTCCTGCCGGTGTTGGGGGTTAAAGGGCAAGACAGAAAAACAGAACGCAGCATAACAACGTAATCCCTTACCATATCATGCCTTCAAACAGATTTTGGATGACAAGATGTGACTGAGTAACGGTTATCAGTAAAGTGACATGGGTCCATGCGAACTGTTAATAGCCCAACAACACAAAAATTAGCGAACACAGCTCATTAGACAGCCAATTAGCAAGAGCAATTTTGAAACACAAATTTTCTGCCATGACTTCTGATGAGAATTTGTAAGATAAAGTCATATAAACAAAACAAGTGTGGTTAGTAAATTACACTGTCTGCTAAAGCCTGAAATAACGAAAACGTTTAGCAAAATAATTGTCATTTATACATAAAGGGAATGCTACTACCAGTGAGACACACTATTGCGTTTTTAGAAACACGGAGGAATAAAGCATGATCCTGGATGACTCCATTTAAATTGCTGAGGAGCTGGCAGTGTTGCTGTGGTGTGTGGAGAACAGTGGCAGTCTCTGAATGCTTCGTAGTGGGCATGCCGAAGCTCCTTTCTTTCCTCAGTATCCTGACAACCTCCCCCTGGAAAGAGTTATCCTAACTCTAAGTGCTTAAAACTCTCAGGATTCAACTGCCTTTTCGTGCTGAAAGTTGATCTTTCTGGGTCTGTTCAATGACATTATGCAATTTCAAAATTTGCAAGTCCTGTGCTGTTTGCCTCATCACCATCCCCACACCATCCCTCGCCTCCCCTCAGCCTGAGAGATGGCTGTTTTAGTGACTGTCAGCACAATTACTGTGGGCAGAATGTGAGCCCAAGGCAGCCATTCTATGTACTCACCTGACAGACTTGATCAGCAATTATGAAGTGACTTTTCAAATAATTCAGATTCTTATTTACTCTTAAACACTATTTTTCATTTCAGCACGGTATTTTATGTTGGTTGTTTTCTTCTGCTCCACTGGTACACATTTAAAGGAACCAAGTACTTTGTACTAGTTGCTTTAAAATACAATTTTTCAATAGGCAACTGGCCCTATTATATTATAGATTTCACTCTACATCCAGTAAGTCCTACACCCATATTCAGGAGCCATGCATACATGGATCAAAATGCACACTTATTTTTTCTTGCCACTGTTCCCTAAGCAATAACGATTTCCATAGGATTTGATGATGTTAAGTCTTGTAATTAACTAGAATGATTTCAAGAGCAGAGGAGGACACAAGTGGGCCACAGGGAAACAGAAGGTCTCGAGCGTGCATAAAGTTTGCTATTCATAAAGATTCTAGAACCAAGTTCCTGATGGGAGATTGGACTATTTCCGATCTGTCTTGAAGATTTTAGATTTCAATCTGTCTTGAAGATTTTAGATTTCATTAAGATTTTACTCTAGGACCACCTGAAATTAGAAATGTAGGTGGGAAATACTACAAATTTCTTAGCAATAATAATTTGTAGAGTGTTTTCTTAAGGAAAAGCCCACGTGGGAAGTATGATCCAACCTGACTAAGCCTTGCTGACCCATGAGTTTGTAACCTCTCAGTACTCGCTCCGCTTTAGGAAGATGAGAAGTTCACTGTGTCAAGTCATGGATCTCAGGAAACACAGACTACTTCTCTCCACTGAACAAGGTATCTCAGTGCAAGGGAGACCTGTGATGACCCTAACGACCACGAAAGCACACGCTCTGCACTAGGCTGATGCCAACAGACGGTGCCCAAGGTCAACTTCAACAAAACCACACGGCACATACTTGCCAGGCTTCAGCAACTATCCCAGGGATGAATTCCCACAATTAAGGGATTCAAACAGATCACATTTTTTTCTTTGAAAATACTTAAAAATGTTTCAGGATCACTTTAGGGACTGCTGTATGTCTTAAATCTCAAAACCTTTTCAACTTCAATATTTTGTAATCGAATGAACCAAAAAAAAAAAAAAAAAAATTGAAAAATTCTCCGGGCTCAGGCAAGACCTTAACTAGCTAATGGGACTGTTGTCTCTTTGGGTCCAGGACCAAGGATGAGCGCGGCCATGGGAAGCTGTGATACACACCATGTAAAACTGCAGGCGGTAGTGTTTCTTCACCAAGCTCAGCACAAACATGCAGAAACCTGTTCAAAAACAAGAGACATGCTGTGTGATTCTACATGGAGTACACGATTCCCTGAACACCACGCCCCCCAGAACACCAGTTTCCTGTATCACGTCCAAGCACACTTTAGCCGTCACTCAACGCTACCTCTCCTACTTAACAATAAGCATTTTAAGTAGCTTCCTGGAGGAACGATTTTGAAATCTCTCAAGTGCCAGGTACACTCCATGGGAAAAAATTCAATCACTATCTCCTACATTAACTAAATGAATTAGTCCCTTGCTAATATGGAAGCTGGAAAAACGTCTTAAATTATCAGGCTATCAAGAGCAAGCTGGTAGGTCAGTGGTCCACTGTTTGCCTAGAGTGTTTGGGGGCCCTACATTGGATCTTCAGCACAGCAAATCCCACCACATGAAATGTCGATTGACTTGAGAGTGTGTACAGATTGTGTTCAATGCCTATACGGCAAAACATGAATGACTATTATGGCAGCGCATGTCTATTAAACACGTTATGTTCCTAATTCCCATCTAAGCTTTTCCATGTATTCATTCGATCCCTCCAATATCTTGAGTAGCTGGCCTTCATCATCTCCTCTTCACAAATGAAGAAAAAGGGTTTGTTTCTTCACTGAGGATTACAGAATTAAAAGAAATGTTTAGATGCCCCTGGCCCTCAAGGCCCAGTTCCATGGAAACTCAAGTAACTTGAAGTACAAAGAGTAACTTGAATTTCTCAGACCAGTCGTATGAATGTGGTAAAATATAATGCTCCTAAGTCATTTCTTATTCCCAGTGTTTGAGCTGCATCATACATTTATTACGAGGAAGATGTGCTGCGGCTGCCCGTTCAGTAAACCTCCCTAACCATGTGCTAACACAACAAGGCGCTTTCTCAGAACACCAGGAAACTTATAAAGACATGTTTCTAGCAGAGGTGGATACTGAAAATGAATGCAGAAACCGAGTCTAATTTAGATAAGCCGCCACACTCTGCAGTGTGTTTAGAGAGAATCTGACGCAGACACTGAATCTGTGTGTCAACTGACCGACACCACACGAGATGAACACTGGATTTTGCATCGCTGGACTCAGTTTACCAGGCATTATAACCAAGGATGCATCTCTCCTCAAGGCAGAGACCCAAAGAGCAGCTGACTCTGAATTTGACAACTGACTTTTAAATATCCAACATGAAGGATTATGGCAAAGTAAAGACAGTGGGAAAGTGACCACAGTTCCTACCTCCCGTTTGTCAGTACAGAGTAACCGGGCTTCCTGGACTGCAGGGCCATGGGAAACACCCAAGAGCTCTAACAACATTGTGTGTGTGTGGGGGGGGGGGAGCAGATAGGGAATGAGCACTAGAGGAAAAGAACTAAGAACACGGAGTCCGTCCGCGCTGCGGCGGCTGCCAAGCGTGGAAAAGTCTCGCTTCACAGTTACTGCTTTTAAGCTTTCCTTCTGGGATGACCAGATTCTGCTTCCTTTATTTCCTTATTGAGAATTTCGTGTGTGAATGCTGGAGTTATCACTTTCCCTCTCTCTAATTTCTCTTACGACCCCCAACTCCTCAAATTCGTGGATGTCCACATGTAGACAAAATGGGAGCCTTTCTATCACACTGTACAAAATCAACTCCAAAGGCATCAAAGACCTAAATGTGGAACCTGAAATGCTGGAACCACTCTAAGGAAACACAGCCAGTACCCCACAGGATGTGGGTGAAGCAGAGTACTCTCTGAAGGGGGCTCTGTTTGCCTAGGTGCTAAGGCCAAGAATGGACAAATGGGACCTCACAAAACTAAAAATTCCATACAGCAAAGGAAAGAATCAGTCAAGTCCAGAGAAAGCCACGGAGCAGACAATCTGTGACAACTGCTCACCCAATAAAGGGTTAAAACCAAGAATATACAAAAACTCACAAAACAGTCAAGAAAATAAATGACCCAATTAAAAACCCAGCCAGGGATCTGAACAGAGAGTTCCCAAAAGAAATAAAAATGACTAAGAAATATCTCAAAATGTGTTCAAGATCCTTAGCAATGAGGAAAATGCAAATCAAAACATTTTGAGATTTCATCTTACCCCAGTAGAATGGCTAAGATCAAGAAAACAGAGCCAGGCGGTGGTGGTGCATGCCTTTAATCCCAGCACTTGGGAGGCAGAGGCAGGTGGATCTCTGTGAGTTCAAGGCCAGCCTGGTCTACAGAGTTCCAGGACAGCCAGGGCTG